TCTTGTGTAAATTTGATATGTTAAGGTCCTTGGCTGCAATTTAAGGATTGGGGTTAAATTTTAAGTTTTAGCCCCTAAGGTTTTAAATAAATTCAAGTTGGACCTTAACGTTGTGGGTTTTCCGTTAAACCAAGAAATTCCGTTAGTTTTTCCGTTAAACCAACAAATTTCGTTTGATGGGCACTTTTTATATAGAGAAGATATAAAGATATATGTGTGTGTGTGTACGCGCACACGTAATTAGCAACAAGAAGATAGAAACAAGAATTTGCTGAAAAATAACTAAATTTCTAAAAATCTCTTGCTACTTCATTGAAAACAAAAAGGATGTTGATTACAAAAGAATAATATGGTGGGTGCGAAAGAAGAAAAAAATTCACTTTTTTTTTTATCTTGCATACTATACCGATTTGTCTCAGTAATATGTCGTAAACTTTAACTTTTTACAACGTGTTCAATATGTATGCCACAAAAACTCAAGTAATTGAAAATTTATAATACACAATGCGATAAAATACTTAAGTAATTGAAAATTTATAACACACAATTGAGGCATACGTAAAATAATATATTTTTACTGCGTGTTTTATTGCACACCATAAGCGAATGTCACAAAAAGCTGTATTTGTTGTAGTAGCTTGTCGCGATTTTATGGATGATCCAATTATATGTGCATATAAGACTGTCTTATTGAACACGAAGCTTCTTCACGAAATAGATGCAGAAAGAGAGATAAGTATGTCTTAACATGAATGTTGGTTCTATATATATTGATTGTAATGGTGGAAAATCTGTTATGTTTTTACTATATAGTAGTTTATATCCAAAGAATTAGTATACAACTTTATTTTTTATACTTACCTCTTATTTAAATGAAATAGGGCGCTCATTTAGTTTTCACTGGGGACCAAAATCTCAAAGTCAATTCTACGTAGCCTCTGTTTGAGAACCATTTTTTGGAAAAATGTATTTTGCAACAGTGATTTTTTTAAAAATGTGTAATTAAAGAATATGAATTTTTTTTAGATTTATGTGTAAAATTATTTTTATGGAAGAATTTTATGTGATTACAAATGAATTTTGAAAAAATGAGTTTTGAGAAAATTAGGGCTCAAACATGAACGTAGAATAGCCCAAACGTAGCCACTCAACAAAATGGGAATTAAACATTCTAAGAATGTTTTTATGGAATTCTCTTGCACTAAGACTCTAGAATGTTGTGTGTTTGGTTTGTCGTTTTCAAATCGTTTTCAATTTTACGAAATACTAAAATCGTGTTTGATTTTATATTTCTGAAAATATATTTTCGAAAACAAGGTTAAACTTGTAACATAAAACTCAAAACGTATTTTTGATATTTTTGAGCATTTTCAGTGAAAAATTTTGAAAACACTAAAAATATGGAAAATAACCGTTTATAAAATTTTAAAAAATATAATATAATATTCTAACAAATAAAATTTAAAAAAATAAAAATTTTGAAAAAATAAATTCTAAAAAAATAGAATTATAAAAAGAAAAAAATATGAAAAAAATTATAATTTTTTTTAGAAAAATAGAAATCATAAAAAATAAAAATAGTTCAAGCTCTTAACTATTATTTACATAAAAGTTCTAAAAAAGTATTTAAATGAACACGGATAAAAATATTATCAATCTATGTCATTAATTTTCACTTTTATTTTATATATTTTGAAATCAATTATTTATTTATTATACTTTTGTAGCGAGAAAAAAAATTGTAAAAATCACCAACTTTAAATTGTATATATTGTTTAATAATATATTAACATATAATTGTCGTAATTTTATTGAATAATCAGTAAAATGTCATACAATGATTTTTCAAAATTTTAAACCAAACATGTTTTCTAATTTTCGATTTTGAGAAATAATTTTTCAAAATGACAAATCAAACAGTTTTAACAATCTTGAAGTAGGCCATCAAAATAGACGACTAAAAATGAATACCTTTTGTACAGAAGACAAAGAAACTTGTAGAAGATAGGTATAGGAAATTAGTTCGTAGAAATAAAAAAATAAAAAAAATTAATTATACTACTAATTAAATCTTTATTAGACCTAGAGTAATCTCGTTCTAGTTGAACTCGAATTTCTTTAACCAAAAAAAAAAAAAAAGGTATTTTGATTTAATCAACTGTGCAACCTTGAACTTTAATTATATAAATTGCTCAGAAGAATATACTTGAGTGGATTCATATACAGTGAAACCTCGATAAAGCAATACCCTCGGGACCGGAAAAAAATATTCATTTAGCGAAATTATTTATTTATCGATAAATGAATAAATTGTTCATTTATCGATAAATAAATATTTACTATTTTAGAGAGAGCTTTTCAATATAAAATATGTACATTGTATGTG